AAAAAAAAAGAATGGAAAGCTAAGAGCCAAGAGCTGAAGTTACAGCTGGCCTGAGGAGAGAAGGAGCCCCTTCCTTCCTGAGCCCCAGGACCTGACACCCCACATAACCCTGCACCCCACAAACACAGTTTGCAGCCGGGAGTCTCAAAATTCCCCATGGGACAGTAACTGGGTGCTCCTGCTGCTGCATTCCAAGGGGTATAAGAGGGCTCCCCAAATCCCTCAACTTCCCACTTTACTGGCCACCTCCCAAAGCAAGGGAGAGAAGCCACCAGCCTCACCATTTTTCTGGGAAATACCAGAAAAATAAAGCCCAGATATGTCCTGGGGAGCAATAGAAACCACAAGGTCTCCTGGATTTCCCCTGGCTCCCAGAAGTCCCTCACTGTGTCCCAGGGCTTGGGTTTCCATGCCTGGAGATCCCATTGAGGGCTGGGACACAGCTCCAGAGCACCCACCCAGGTCCCTGGGGCTCTGGCTCAGCCCAGGGATGCAATGCTGCGGTTTGAAGGATTAATCCCAATGTTAGGAACTGGGCAGGGAGGAGCAAACCCTGCGGAGGGTTCCCCGTCCCAGCTGCGGGATGCCCTGCCCTGCCCTGACAGGTCTCCCGGGTTTCGCCAGCCCTGCCAGCCCCTGGTCCCAGGGGAGCAGCGTCACCCCCACCGCGCCGCCCTGACTCACAGCGGGCCCCTTTGATCCCCCGGCTCCGGAGTGGCCAAACGAGTTCTGGCATTCCAGCTCTGGCTCCCGTCTGGAAGCACCATCTTCCCAGGCAGCTGCAAATCACCAGCCCTCAGCCCCAGCGTTACCGGGAACTTGTTCGGCTGCCAGCGGCACTGGGGGGTTATTAAGAGCTTCCCAAACCTCATCCCAACACAGGCCATGTGCACATCTGCCCACAGCTGCCCACTCCAGCTAGAAGGGACCCTGATGACCATCCAGTTCCAAGCCTGCCATGGGCAGGGACACCTTCCACTAGCCCAGGTTGCTCCAAGCCCCATCCAGCCTGGCCTGGGGCACTTCCAGGGACCCAGGGGCAGCCACAGATTATCTGGACACCTCTGCCAGGGCCTCACAGTTCTCACAGGAAGGAATTTCTTCCCAATATTTCATCTAATCCTGCCCTGTGGCAAGTGGGAAGCCATTCTCCCTTGTCCTGTCTCTCACTCAAAGTCCCTCTCCAGCTGTCCTAGAGCCCGTTAAAGCACTGGAAGGAGTTCCAAGGTCTCCCTGGAGCCTTCCCTTCTCCAGGCTGAACCAGGTCACCGCATGTTCCTCACTCCCACACCAATCCCACCACCGGCTCACTGCACGCAGCTGCCCCAGACCTTTGGCATAGCTCCACAGGGCTGGATGGGGCTGGGTTAGGTCTGGGAGAAAAAGCTGAAGATGAGTCACAGGACCTCAAAAGTTCATTTGTTCTCTCCCCTCTTGTCCTCCTGCGCGTAACAGCCATCACCAAAGCCTGGAAAGCCAGCTCTGCAGGGAAGCTGGATCCAGTCTCCTCCTCCAGTCCTGCTCTAGATGTCACTCAGCAGGGCATAAACTGCCCCTTTTCCCCCAGAACCTGTTCCCAGTGCTGCCCACACCCCTCTTTACTGGGAGGTCCTGTTCTGGAACAACAGCCCAAATTTTCTCCATATCTACACCAAAAAGACCCTCCTAAAGGTTTCAGCACTGGAAGGAGTTGGGACACTCCTGTGGTCCCCTTCAGTAGCCCTTCCACTGCTCCCAGTTTACCCAGCTGAAGGCTGATGGGAAGAGCAGCAGCTGAGGGAGGGGCCAGGAGAGAGGCCAGAACAGCACAGGAGTGTCAGGTTTTAATCCCTCCTCCAGTACAAAGTGATATGGCTTGTACTTGCTTTTATTTTTAGGCCAGATTTACATGTACAGCTGAATTTCAATCCAATGTAAAACTTCCAGGTGGGAATGGGAGAAGAGAGGAACCAGAACCCAGCCAGTGATCTCAGGACTGGTGCTCCTTTCCAGCTCCAATGATGTCGCCAGACTCTGCCGGGACACAGAGCTCCCACTCCCAGAGGGAGCTTTCACAAGGCACTAAGCAAAGCTCATGTTTAAACCTAAAAATAACCCAGCCCTTGGGCCTGGGGAGGAGGAGGGCAGAGCACCCAGCCTGTCCCGCTCCAGCGCCAGCAGTTTCCAATTGCCTGCGGACGGGGAGTGTTCCCAATCCTCCCCCCGAGACGAAATCTTCCGCCTTGCCACCCACACTCATGGAAGAAAACTGGCGAGAGCCGCAGGAGAGACCAAAGTCTCCCCCAACCACATCCTGCCCCCCTGCTTTGCTGCCAGATGCGATCCCCCAGAGCCTTGTCCCGAGATCCCGCTAGCTCCAGCGTTCCCAGCAGCGCTCCTCGCCCCACTCAGCGTGTGCCACCGGGCTGGGGCCACGTCACAGCCATGCCACCACGCTGGGAGCCTGACGGGGCTGATGCCACCACTGCAACAGGAGTTCATTCCAAGGCTGGTGTCTGTCTGTCCTGCTGAGGCAGAGCCCGCTCCCAATCCCCAACACAGAGCGATCCTCAAACCCAGCAGAGCTGTGAGAGCAGAGATCAGTCCCCATCTTGGAGCAATAGTTTTGGGGTGTCCCCTAGAAGAGAGGGTCCTTTATCCTGGCTTGGGAAAACCCCAAGTGCGCAGCACCAGTGCTGTTGTGCCTCCCTGCCCTGCCCTGCAGCCCCTGTCAGGACTCACCCACACAAATTCCTCACCAGACTCCAAATCTCCATCCCGACCCTCAGCTCCTCCATCCTGCCCTGTGGCTGCCAGCCCCTGGCAGGATTCAACCCACAAACCTCTCGCTGTACCCCAAATCTCCTCTCCGGCCTCCAGCTCCGCCATCCCTTTCCTGCTTCCCTCTCCCAGGAAAGCCCTTCATAGGGCTCCTCTAGCTTCCAACTATCCCACTTCACTCCAACTCCCTCAATCCATTTAAGTCTTTCTTTGCATGTAAGATGTTTCTTTCTTTGCCTTTCTCTTTTTTTAACTTATTAAGGAGAAAGTTCAAACCATTGGCAGTGTCTGCGACGCACTAATTTGGAACTTAGTGTGGTGTCGACATTGCATTAAGTATTTCTGTCAACCATGAGGACACACCATGTCTGTGTAAGAAATTACACCAGCAATTATAGCTAAAGAGGCATGTAAAATTTAAAAAAAAAAAAATTAATGTATTCAGAAATGATAACTGACATTCTTATTAGGATTAATCTAATTTTAGTAGACTCATTTATATCCTGCCTCTGGATAAAAAATGAGTTTCAATTTTAAAACCTGGATAAAAAGTGGCATTTTTTAAAAAAGTACTTTTAGAAGTCACCCTGCATGATTAAGCGGGATGATAATGCGAAGAGCTTAACAAAAAGCTGTGCCATTAAAGGAGATATTTGTTAAACAAAACAGAAGCAGAGATATTTATCAAGCCCAGGAGATTATTCCAGGGTAACTCTGGACCTGGCACTGCTGGGTGTTGCTTGCGGTCTCAAGTTAATGGAGAGAAAATTGGGAATGGCAGATAACGGGGAAGGGACAGGAGTTTTGGCGGGCACATCCTGCACCAGCAAGCAGGGAATGGCAGCACTGGGGAGAGCCATCCATAGGCTGGATGAGACCATGCCCCACTGGACATGGATAATACTAAGGCGAAGCACAGGAGTCACTCCCAGACTGGGAAGAAAAACCCCGAAATGTGAGTCAGTTCCACATATCCAAAAAAGAAAGAACATGAGATGGAACACCAAGGTCCTTCCTGAGGTTTGCCGAACACCAAGTGGGGCATGGCCCAGACCCCCTCCATGGCACTGCCTTAGATGGCTGCTGGTACAAAATGTGCCCCTGGCCTCAAGCTCTGGTGTTGGCATGTTTTAACTCCATGGCAATGGATGCTTTGATTGGCACGGGTTCTGGCAGAGTACAGGAGTGTCTCCTCTCTGTGCCAGCCCACCACACACTTCCTGCTACGTCCATCTCCAGCAACACCTCACCAACCCACCAATCTCCTCATCCATCGAACCAGCCATCCCACGTGAGAAACCAGCCAAGAGGCCTCCTCCAGGCTTGCCTGTTGCTCCACGTCCCCACATCAACACCCCCCACGTGTCCATGACCACCACATCCCGTGGGACACTGATGAGATCCCAGCCATCCCAAGGTGCAGGACACGGAGGCAGGAGGGCACAGGTAGCCTGCACAGCCAGGATGGGAGTACCCACAGGGCTGGGCTCCCTCCTCTCACCCACATCCCCCCACTACAAGGGAATTAAGCAAAAAAGCAAAGCACCAAAAGATTAAAGAATATGTGGAAAGACTCAAAAGCCGAAGAGGAAAAAAAATCCCAGGCTGATTATTTTATTTTCTCCTGACAGTTTGAGCCACAATGGCCAATAAATCCCAATTACGGATTTTAAAAATGCTTCCTGCAGACACTTAGACCATCAAGGCAATTCTGGGCTCCCATAACTCCTGGTTTATGATGGTCATACATGTCAGTTTTCCACAGAGCCCAGCATTTCAATAAAATGACCATAAACCTAGATTCGAGATTAAAGGACTGACTCAGAAGTTGTCAGAGGAAGAAACAAGTTTTCCTGCAATTGCTTTGCCATTTTTACTGACCAACAGTTTGGCTTTTTGATGGGTTTATGCCAGCAGTAAATTTTGGGCTGCTGACAGCTCGGTGTGTGAGACAAGTGAAGGCAGCAGCAGGGAGGTGCGGGGAGGACATGAGCCCAGCGCAGGCTCAGGCGACAACCCCGAGATAAGAAGTGACAGGGCTCCTCCTGGGCTCCCCAGCACTGGCACGGGAACACGGATGCCAGCTCCAGTCAACCTTCCTGGCCCCCCTTCCCAGCCCCCCGACCTGTCAGACTTCTCTCCAGGGAGCAGCTCTGTCCTCGTTTCTCCTCTTCCCACCTTGGCAGGGTCAGGAGCTGCCAGCACATGGGGAGGTGACCCCCTGAGGGCTCCCCACTGCCAGCACATGGGAAGGTGACCCAGGAGGGCTCCCCGTGGCCAGGCACGACCAGGGACCCTGGGGACAATGCACAGGGAAGCATCCCCCAGCAGCAGCTGCCTCTCTCCTCAGCCTGTCTCAGCAGCAGCAACAGCTCAAGGGAGACGCCTTTGAAAGGATAAACGGCAGGCGTTTGTTGTGCTCCCGTTTCCTGGATGAATGCGCTGCTTCCTTTTACTAAGTGCTCTCTTAGGAGAAGGAAAAGGGAAAAATAAAACAGCAGCAGAAAGGAAGGAGGATGACTCACGGTGAGGCCACATCTCCACCGACACGCGAGAGCTGCGAGACAGTGCCAAGGACAAAGGCTGGGATCAAAAGCACGGGAGCGGATCAAACGCGTGCCCTCCCCGGGGAGGGGGAAGGTTTCAGGGAGCTGCCCGGGGGAAGGAAGGTGGGATGGAGCCGAGCCCTCCTGGCCGCCCATGGGCTGCAAGCAGCCATCTCCCTTTCCTGAGCTTCAGCCACTGCTTTCACATCTGAACAGGAGCTCCGGTTGTTGGAGTTCGGTTAAGACACGCACACAGGGCTCCACACCAGGACACGGGCAGCGATGGGGATGGAGAGCACCAGGAGGAACTGTGGCTGCACTCAACAGGAGGTGAAAAAATGTCCTTTTCCTGAGGAAATGAAAGAGCTGAGCCCGGAGCTCAGCACGCAGAAGGGGGCCTGTGCCCTTTCTGCCGGTGTCTCTCAAAGTCTATCAAAAAGTCCCATTTACATCAAAATGCCCTTCCAGACATGCTTCGATTTTACTTTTCCCCTTTCATCTCCGTCCCCCTCCCGCCCCACCTCGCAGCCCCATTGTCCTCGCAGCACCAGGAGCGGGCCGAGCGCGCTGCCAGCGGGAAAGAACAGGAGAGAAAGAAAAGAGCTGGAAACTAAGAGAGAAGCCGGAATTGCTGCTGGTCCCGCTCCAGCGGGAGCTGTGACCCCATCTCCTCCTGCCTGCTGCTTGGCGGCCGCCCCGGGGGACGGCGCTGGCCGTGTCCCCTCCGCGGGGACGGGGACTCGCTGCCCCGGCCTCTGCTGTCGCCCGGGGCTCTGCTCAGGCCGCCGATGGTTTCAGTGAACTTCAACAAAAGCCTTGGGCAAGGGCGCCATCCTGCTCCGCTGTCCCCGGCCAAGCAGCACTGCACACCCTGCTCCCAGCACCGAGGACACTGGTGGCACTGGGAAACCCCGACACAGCGCTCTGGGCTTGGTCATCACTGCACATCCCAACTGGAAACGAAGTGGATCGAGCATAAGTGCTTCACTCTGCACAGCAGAGTCTTTAAAATGCCAGGGGAGCTGGAGCATTTCCACAGGTGACAGTACCAGACCCAGCTCTGTCCCACCTGTCCTCCTCCAGCAATTTGGATTCACTGAGCCGTTTCCTTCCCCAACCCTGGCCCCAGCAGTGCCACATCCTTCCCTCACTTTTCCAAGCCCCTTAAAAGCAGAAGTGCTTTCCCCAGCCTGCCGGATGGACACGCAAGCCCAAGACTGAAATCTGCTCCAGGTTCCAAGTACAAATGAGGTTTGACTGCAGGTTAACCCAGTAAAACTCCACTCTAGCAGTGCACAATCCCAATGTTGTTCACCAGGCTCTGTCCACCTTGCCTGACACAGAGCTTTTCCAGTCCTCCTGTCCTATTGTCAGCGTCTATTTTTAACCCCCAGCATTATTTCTCCCTGCGTGACTTCAGACACTCTCTGGGGATGAGGTGGAATTGCTGAGCTGGTTCCAGGCAAAGTGACTCAACTCTCACCTTCAGAAGCCACACAGGAATCAGAGGATAAGTTTTCCTCCATTCACATTTTCCTTTCTCTCTCCCTCCAAGCTCTGTCTGGGGCTGAAAGCAGGGGAAGCTGCAGGGAGGTAAAGCCAGCATCTATCAGCGAGAACATGCGGCAATGCCATTTTCCTCCCTTTTCCTCCCTGGTACCTTTATAATCAGCTGGATTTACCCTGGGAAAAATCCTGCATCAACTGCTGGTGTATACAAAGGTTAGAAAGGTAACCTTAACACAGGTGTTATGAGCAGAGCTCTGAGCTGCCAGGCACAGGGAATCTCACTGAGAGAGGCACCATCCTGGCAGAAGGGAGGGAGCAGCATTCCCCTCGCGGGGCCCTGGGCCGAGCGCCGGTGCCGACGCTT